TTCGTGAACTTCTTTTCTAATTGGTTCATGCATATGGAACGCGGAGTTCATTTACGGCGAGGACGCTAAGTGTTACGGGTATAAACATTTGTTAGGTTTACGACGAGGATGCGATTCCTCCGGCATTTTTCAGATTAAGATTTCAGTACGCCGGTTTTCCACTTATTCATTATTTTCGTTTATTGGCCGCGGTTTATTAGCGGGGAGCTACGCGGCTCGTAACTCTTAATGCCTGGGAGTACCGAATGTTAGGAGTTACCGGTTTCTAATGCCTTGTAAAAAAATCGCGAGAGTACGTTTATTGAGACCTGGCGTGAATTTTATCGTAACGCGTACAGGATATATAAATTTCCCCGATAATTCCCCGCGGGAACATCTTTATAATTTTGATAATTTAATCTTTACAACCGAGTAAAATATATGATAGAGGAGGTGTCACTTTGCGGCATTCAGCATTTCCAGCGTTAATTCCTTAATGAACGTATAAACCGTGAGAAAAGTAATCCGTACCGGAATCAGGCTCGAGCGTGGCCGTGCAACTTAACAGTTGTTTCATTCGATTGTTTACAGTTTTTTAACGATATTTTCTCTTTTGCTTTCAGGTACGTAGACAGTTCGTGCGCAAGAAAATCTTGTCACACTTCGAAAAGGTACGGTAGATAAATTCTTCTAAATTTATTTATTATCTCCTGTATACTTCAACAACCCGGGCGGAGTATCACTAAACGACTTTCTACTTTTCCTAATTGTTTCGTCTAATTAACGGTAATAGGGCGTTTAATCTGCCGGGATCTACAATTTGTCTGAACCCTTGCATTTAGTTACTAAACTTCTCCATTCGAAGTTTCATAATTTGAACTGGAACGAAATAAGGAATTCTCTTTCTCCATTTTATTATCATTATTGCGAGGATTTCGTTAATCAGTGGTTATTCATTTTTGTAATAATTAACGTCCCACCGTCGTAAGTACCGCGCAGGGATACTACGAAAGAGGCGAATGGCAAACGATCCCAGACCGAGTGCGCAGACTGTGTATCCAGACGCCTGTTCAGTGCCTAATTAAACTGGAGTTGACTCATTACCGTCAGTAAGATTAGGTTAGGTGAGAAGGGAAGGGACGGATCACGGGCGCAACTTACCTCCGTTTCCTACGAATAACACTGCCACCGTGCGCCATTTGTAGTTTATGGAGGATAAACTCGAATGCAGGTCTCCCCATCCTGCTCTTTATTGTGACTTGATCTCGCCCCAAGAAAGAGTATTCGTTTTATATACTAATATGAACCCGTTACACACGGAATGCGTATTCTTTACCTTTTGCCTAACCGCTTGATGTCTTACTGTGACTGTAAACGAACTCAGTTAAACGAAACAAGCCTGAAACATTGTTTCAAAGAAAATAATCGGTTATTCTAAAATATATGAAATATATGAGATACATTTTTCACAATAAAATATAAACAGACTTCAAGGTGAATCTTTCAAGCCATCATTTAAGGAGCAAAGCTAACTACAATCCTTTCACTAACCGATCTGTCATTGAACTGTTACAAATCTAATAATCAATAATTAAACTGTTATAAACCTGTTAACCAAGTTTGGAAAAGGTCCACGGCACTTTCTGACGTGAGTTTAGGAATTTATTGAACTAAGAACGATCTAGAACGGCAGTCTAATCGCATGGAAACGCGCAAGGCATTACGTAATACGGAACGTTTCTAAAAATCTGTAATGTTGAAAAATTCGGATGCATGGAACGCGGACTGTGCAATAAAGTCGTGGAATTTAGAGCAACGAGAATTATAATGAAATGTAAAACGTGTTTTCCAAGGCAAGGTTTAATAGAAACTGACACCTTTTTGCTTAAGGACACCGCTAATTATAAGCTATTACGCGTTACTGTACGAACACGATGTATAAAAGTTAACGCTCGCTTTCGTTAGGTGTTTGCCCGGTAATACCATTTCCCTAATTCCTTTTCCGCGTGAGGCAGATCCCGGTAAAGTAATAGCAACTGTATTACTTGGTAGCTTATTCATACTGCCCCGCCATAACCAGGCCGCGACTAGCTCCATTAAGTGTACCAGACAGATTATGTGCAACCATTTAGAACCGAGTTAAACCTTAACTGTGTACCTAGAGCCTTGGCAATGATCTACAAATTATAGTATAGTGTACGTAACGTATCTAATTTATAACGTAAATGGAAATATGGAAAATATATCACGTGTATGCATTATACGCGCAGATAAATACGCCTGACAATTTTTTATAAGTAGACTGTAGCCGTAGGTAACGCTGTTAAACTATATTCAACGAATTATATGAATATATTCATACTTAATGTTATAATAAAAGAATCTTAGAAGATTTACATCCTCCACTTGAAAAGAAATTTCATTCCTAATGCAATATTTTGTTGTAAAATTAATATCGATAGCAGTAACGTGTTTTTCTTTAATGTTAAGCTGATAAACGTTTTGTTTTGAAGCTATGAGGAATATTGAATATACTTTGCAATTTGATATGACTTTAATTTATATATAGTGGTGAAATTAAGAAGCATATATTATATAAAGCGTGGTCGAGCATGTGTATTTCATGATCAAATTATAATGGCAAAGTTCAGTGTAAACTTTATCCATAGAAATATTTTGACCGTGGAAAACGAATTGTTCGTATTTCTTAGAAAAATGTAGGAATATTTGCAAGTCATGTTATACATTGAAATCAAGATAAAATTAATTGCACTGCTGAAAGACACTTGGCAGATGCATCTCTGAGGCTTCATTACGAATATAGCTTTCTGCAGTTCATCTCTTTAGCACGGAAACGCGAAACTCGGAAGTGAAAAAGGTTCTGGGGAACGATTAAATCGAAAGCGGGGAAACTTTTTCTCTTCTAAGGTTTCTTTTAACCGTCGTGTATTACACAAGAAACCGAAGCAAGCTTTAATCGGTCGGTAGATAGTTCGAAACATTAGACGTTCAATGAAGAATACACAATTATCCATTGATTCCCATCAGAATTCTTTTCGTTCCTTGTTTGGAAAATCTCAATGCCAAAGGAATTATAAACTTTCAGTTCTAAATTAAACACACAACGCTAATCGACTCTCGATTTTGAAATGAAACATTTAATTTCTTAATGAAAATGGGTCGAACTTTCGCTGCCAATAATTGTGTTACCATTGTTCTGATCCGACGCTCGTGAATAACAAAAACGAAGTAACTGACACGAGAAACATTTATAGACGAAAGAGTTGATCCTTTCCTTTGTCGATTAATCTTTCTTAGCCTGTAATTATTATTCAATATCCAATGGAACAATTTACCGAGATCGCTTTTATTCGAAATTTAATTATCTTATCGGCATCTCCGAAACTTCCTTCGAGACATCCTAGGTTCGAGTTTAACTACCGGACATGATTAATCGACGTGGCTGAATTTTATTGATGATGGATCACAGAAGTGCTTCAGAATTTCTTTTTTCACAAATCGACTCTCGTGATTTTTACGACATCGATTTTCAGTCTCCTTTCGTCGTGGGCAGTCGAAAACTTATTGGCGGCGATGACAGTCTCGCCTGCGATTCTTCAGAATCCGTCTTGCACGGCGACAGTCCAGCATTTTTGTACTGATAGCTGCCGTACACGTATCCGCATAAAGGACAGATCATTCGGACTTTCTTCGCGCGCTTCATCATCAACGGCACAAAACAGAGTGGCCAGCATCTATCACGGGTCATGACGTTTTGTAACAAATAAGAGTACTCGTGTTAGCGTTCATGTGAATCGACGTATCGATCGCAAAAGAATTCCTTTGCCCCGGATGCTGAAACCCGATCGAAAACCGTCAAAAACAGATTGAAATGTGTATAAAACATTCGTTTATATCTGTAAACCCTTTCAAAACAAGGGGCACAAAGGAAAATCGTTGGGACGTGAAAAAATATTCTCACCATGCATTAGACAGTATGCAGCAAACTATGAAACTATAGAAAGAGCTAAAACAAAAATGTAGAAAAAGGAACAATATACTTTTTAATTCGTTTTTGGAGTAGTATATTTATTAACCCTTGCACTCCAGAGGCTCCACTACTGTACCATTAATAACATTAAACATTTTACTGAACGAACTTAAGGAACCACCCTAAAATCACTACATTCGTTGCCAACGTATTTCGTCCTAAGAATTAAAACAAAACATCTAAGAAATCTTATAATATAACATTTTCTACTTTCCACGGTAGATTCGAGTTTTATAAGTTACAAAATCGATTGGAGCGCTAAGGGTCAATGGATGAAGTAAGTATTTCTTAGCAACTATAAAAAGAAGAATTTAATTTATTTTCGTAATTATATAAGGGAATGAAGGATTACCCTTATCACCCTGAATAACGATGTCTCATTAATTTTCCAAATTCCGAATAAAATCGCGACAATCCTCGAGATACCTAAATACCTTCTTCCCTTTTAAACTGATCATCTCTTAAATAAAACTGGGACACGTCAGATGTCAAGAATCCATGGCACACTCTTATGGTTTTTAATACCAGATTTCGACTTACCCTAATAGACACAATGCTCCGATATGCGATGTTGTCAGTTTATCGCCGCGAGCGTGAAGCGTCGGTACCGTTTCCTTTTTACATTGCGGACAGACCTTTTTTTCGTTGTGTGCCTTCCACGTGTCCACTGTTATCCAAGACGAACGATTTAATATTTCACCAAGAATTTGTTCAAACGACAAACGTACCTCGCGTCGCGTAGACTTTCCTGGGTTCGCTTGTTTTAACATTACCGTCTGTTCTAACGGAGCTCTTCGAAGTAATTCGATTGGACGGTTTCCTTGACTCCTCCTCTTCTCCCTGTCATTTTAAAAAATCCGATATTATCGTTGATCATTATCGAAGTGAATATTATTGAAATTCTCTAAATGTGTTATCAATACGATTTTAATCGTAACCTTCTTATAATTTTAACCATAAACATATATCCAGGCACGTTATCTATACAATTTACATGTTTATTCTATGCACACGTTGTACATATATTTGCCTTATCCGAAATATATATTTTGAGTGAAAGCTTTTCGCATGTTTCTAATAACAAAGAAGATATTGAATAAGAGTAAGGTAAAACCTAGTTCTCAATAACAAAAAAGACATAATATTTGATTACAGTTTATATTTTCGTATCGTAGCACTGAACTTATTATACTCGAATGACATAATTAGATTATTTTCTGTATTGGCGACATGCAACAACCTGTTTCCCAATTTTGTTCAATTAACGCGTTGATCTACTTAAGAGTAGAGGGTGACAGGGTACTATTTCGTACCTGGACTGAGCAATGTCGCGACCGTTTAGGATGAGACTTGCGAATATGCGCGAGGAGCGTGCACGTGTCTTCCCCCTTGTCGCTGACTCGTTTGTCGCAGACAGGACACCACGTGGCCGCGTGCGGCTGTGACGAAAATGGTATATAACAGAATGTACGGCCTCATTGAATTCTAACCTACGTAAGTCAGGGAGGACATCCGCCTTTTAGCCGAACGCTTCTCGGAGAATTAAAATGAACGTGCTGGAACAGCCTGCGCGGCGCGTATCATATCTTCGTATACGTGACGCGTTCCCTCGCGGCGAGCACCGTTGCACATTTTTTCAATGATACACTCGAAACCTGCCCACGAACGAACGTGTCAAGGGAATGAAGTTGCACGTTTGCGTTCATATAATTTTCTCGGATTCGTATAATATATGTGGTGAGACATTGAAATAGAAATAACTTTTTCTTAACATTCGCATTCATGTTTCCGTAGATTTGTTCGTAAACGATAGAAGATTAATATCTTTTGTATTATAAATTTCGCTGCATCAAACGCTTCATCGGAAGACTCTTTAATCAGGAAAATTAATGTCGACGAATTAGAGAAAAGAATAAGTTATCTTCTATGTGATATTCGTTTCATTAATCTACTCACTTAATATTAGCCGATATGTAACTTGATAACTCTATCAATTACTCTTATAAAATAAATAACTTTGAAAATACGCATCGAAACTACTGGTAATCTAAGGTTTGCATATCAGTTATTCGTAAAACTAAAATACTCCGTATTAACTTAGACATTTGTCACTTCTAATGCCAGCAAAGAAGCGACTGATCAGTTAAGAACACGTTCGTGGATAAGGGACATTTACGTTCAACGAAATCACGGGTCTTATGAGACGTTTATCTGTTCAGCTTACCAATAATAGATATTATTATCGTTTTATCGTGGCAGCAAGTCCGCTCTAAGCTGAAAGGACTATTTGGGCTGGCCTCCTACTTTCTTATCGCCTGCTCGCCAGCAGCTAAGCCCCGGCCGGCCGTTACGCGTGTCCCGGAAAGCTCGCCGGTTAACATTGATAACGCGTCACCGGTATCCGTGCAGTTTAATCAAATTCTTTCTCGAGCAGCAACTTAATCAACTTCTTACACAGAGGGCACTTGACTTCTTCTTCTTCTTCTTCTTCTCCTCCTCCTCCCTGCGTCGTGCCCGTTAAATTGCCCGTCGTTTTTTAGTTTGGAGAATCCGGCTAATCAGCACTCCGGGATACCTAATTTTCGCAAGTTAGCTGCACCAACTACTCAGATACCTTAATCAGCTGCTTAGGTAGGATAATCACCTCCTAGGGTAGCTTAATGACCCCCTTCTACCTTACTCGAAGTAACACCATTGACTCTGTTCAAAAGAGCTGACCAGGGTACCACAGCTGTGGGTCATCGACCATAAATCACTGTTATTATCGTCGTATTTAAATTGCTGTCTACGCGGGAATCGACTGGATTGAGTGCTAATTGTTACATCTTTCAATATCTACTTTAAACGTATGCGTGTAATTTACGGTCGGGTCGTTAATCAGTGGCTCCCTTAATTAATCATACCATTGTGCAGCGTTCGGTTTTTCGCGTGATTTCAGGACTTCATTCGAGGGATACATAAATATTATGCACCATTATCGTGTCGTTAACTCGCACCGGTCTCGGTGAAATTGTAAGTTTGGAATTATCGATATTTAAATATTGCATAATGCTCCTCGAAAGATGTAACTCGTGGAATTGATTATAAAACGGTGAGATCCGAACAGTTTCACTTTGGAACAAATTTTCTTCGAAATTCAAGCATTCTGGTTTACGAGTTACATTGCAAGCACTAAATTCCCCAAGAATATTAATACAATAACATAAGAAAAAAGTGTATTAATCTTCGCCGGAAACATTATAAACTAAAACCTAATACATCTATGAATTCTCTCATTCTTTCGAATCGCCCACCAAATATTCTCCTTTTTGCGGGACCATACGATAGGAACAATATCAATCATCCTTGCGGTGCAGTGTTTCCGTATAAATCAGGAGTTACGATCATATCGCAGCGATTTTATTTCAAACAAAGCCCGGGAGGTAGAATAAAAAGCTTAACGTCGCCGCCGCGTTTTTCACGGAATCGAAATTCATGACAAGCTCTCCGCGTCGTTGGATTCCCTACAAAGGACGCCAAAGGTAAATCCGTTGCGACGCGACGCGACGCGACACGGCGCGTGGATTCTGATGCATCTCGCCCACGGCCCCACCGGTTTATCTTTTTATCCGTGGCCATCGTTTCCTCTCCGCGCACAAAAGAACCTCCAGGTGAGGAGTCATGGATCAGCCCAGACGGGGATAACTGTACTTAGCCCTTACCGCTTGCCTTCCTTCCACCTGACCTAATTTCCTGACCCACTGACAACGGTACTCTCAATAAATCGCACTGTCGAGCCGATCGTCTCGCGAGAATGGACTATTTTTGAAGAATCCGAACTCGAGTCGTATGAGGAATAAAACAAATCATCTGTATTTGTATTATTTCTATTGTAACATTTTTGTATCTGTTTACAACGGAGTTTAGTGTGTAAAGACAGTTACTTCGAGAGGAATACTCTCTAAAATAATAGCAGTTGATCTTGAAAAGAGATAGATTCTAAACTTACGTCGTATCTAGAACAAAGCAAGTCCTTTGTATTCGTTTTATTTCTATTCCATTATTTTTGTATTTGTTTATAACCGAGTATAGTATGCGAAACAGATATTCCAAGAGGAATATTTTCTAGAATAGCAGATAATATCGAAACGAGATGGATTCTAAATCTAAATCGTATCCAGAATAAAATAAATCGCGTGTATTCATAGATTTATAACATAATGTAATTTCGTAGAAAGGAATATTCGACGATGATGCTTTTTTCAGAGAACAGTAGTGAACGTTGAAAGCGCTGTTCTGTAAAAGGCAGTAATTCACACAGAGAAGTATATTCCGGAGAACAGTATCTCGCGGAGAATATCGTCTAGAAAATAGCAGTCGGATTCGCGTCGATATCGGAAACTCATTAAACGCTGGGAATGGAAATGATATTTCAAAAATTAATAATCAAAAGTGCGAACGAACGCAGTTTAGGAGATGTTGGCTGGATGAAAGAGGGAATGGAGGTTAAACGTGAACAGCAATATATTGGGCTCACGGTGAACATATATATATATATATATATATACAAGGGAAGGTCTTCGATGCGGTCTATACCAGGCGACTGCGAGAGCCGTATTGCACGCCCCTATCGCGATTTACAGTCACCGCGCTGTCATACAACTCGGAAAGTACTCCTCGTAAAAACTAAGAAAAAAAGTGCACCCATCCCGATGGAAAATCATTATCACAGCTACGTTAAATACTTTAAGTGAAAACAGCCGGAGTTATAAATGGCCCTGTTCCGTTCATTTATTTTCTGGAATAATTGCGAAAGTCCGTGCGTTCCGCGCGAGCGTATACGCGCGTTTACTTCTATGTGGCAATGCTGTCGGCAAGCGCCGCGCGCCCAGACTTCCATAGACTTCCATTATCTGAACAACCATTACGCAGGTATCCTAATATTCGAACATCCTGCTAAACAGAATATCTTCCAATATTATCGATACTCACGCGAACGTATAGCTTTCGACGGTAATTCGCATTTTTCTTTCTTCGATCGTTGGAATTCTGCGATTTAGCATAGAATTTCGTGTACTCGACTATTCCATGATGAAAGGATCTAAGATATGGCGTTAATGAATTATTGATCATTCCTCGATTATCCTATCGACCACGTGTTCTAATACAAAAATTGTAACATTGGAATGTCATTCGTGCTGCGGTGCTGAGTTCTTGAATTTATGATAACCCGATGCCGAGGTATTCACATTTTTACTTCCACATTTATTCTGCTAGAATAAGAAGCATTACGACACTCCCATTGACTCTACGCCAGGATGCTTTGTCTCGATGGAACCTCGAACCTAGGATCTCGTCACTGCTAAATTTCATCCTCCAGACTTGGATACCATAGCCTGAATTCGGTTAGGACTAAAAGTTACCCGACCCCCTAATGATCGGCCGTCTAAAAGCTTTGTTCCGATGAGACATCGATCCTGGGTTCGGCGCTAAGCTGACAGGTTCTCGAGGTTCTTATAGTCCTTCAGATTATAGACCGAAAATCCGTTTTATTGTACCTCAGTTCGTATTATTTAAATACAACTTTATGGCGTATCGTATAGTAACAATGAATGAACGAAAGATTTACTGTCAAGAATTTTTTTTAAATCCAGTATGTGTATTAAAAGGAAGCTTTAATTTACAAAAGAATGAAGACATTTTCAGTGTACACTTCTGGAAATAATAAGTATTGTCCACATGACTCCATATTTTTAGGACACGTGATACATCCGAGAAACAGATTTAATTATATTACACGCATCCAGGAAGATGGTATCGTTCAGTTCACGAACTTTTACGATTGACGGCGAACGTGCCAATAAAAATATCGGTAATCCATTACGTCGATACAGATACAGCGGAAACACAATCGACGAGCGAGTCTTAAAAATAATCTCTCTTCGCGCTTAAGCGGTTCGAAACAAGCGTCGATATTGGTTTAAAAGAAACTTCATCGGTCGCATCGCGCCCGGAACCGTACTAATCCCTTTACGTTATTTTAAGTTCTTCCCGTCGATACACGATATTTCTCTGATATCGCGGCAACGGCGGAAGAGACGGGAGATCTTATAAATTGACGAGTGGAGTGAAACATCCTGTGTATATTATATGAAACGCAATGAATCACCATTTACTTGAATTAATCGAATTAAGAGATGAACACCGGGCAACGAGCACGATCACGCTCCACTGCTTCATATTGTATCTCTCGATTCAAGCGATACCGTTCATTGCCGGAAACGAGGCGCAGGAAACACGGACCACGTGTTTCGAACATTAACTGGAACGTTAACTATATCGTCCCTAATACACTCGTGTTCCTCGCGCGCCATCCCTAAATAATATTAAGAATTATCGAACCTGTGTAATACACTTCTTCCGTTAGAACTCATTTATATTATCCGGAATAATGCTCCGGTTATGGTTGCATTATACACGGTTTCGCGGTGTGTACGAATACAGGTCCAAATATAAATTACTCGTCGAAACGAAATAATGTGAAACGATTCTTATAAAGATCTACCTTCGGTTCTATAATCTCTATAAGTACCTTTGTCTTCGAGATTTCCAGTTCCTATCTGTACTCACTTTTACAAATACCTTAATACGATTTTCTTCCCAGTAATTCAATTTATATTACTTTCACGAAGAGTATAATAATCGACGGAAAACACGATATTCCATCAAACACGATTTTCTGTTCTAAGTACAAACACCACAACACATTCACTCTACGGCATCCAATTATCATACCTTATTCATCGTGAAATCATTGAAACCAGTCATCCGTAACTTCAACTCTCTGTCATTCCTTCAACATTCTCCATTAACGCATACCCACCGATCTTCTCAATATTTCCATCATTCGACTCATCAGACTGAAAGAACTTCCACAACTCTGGTCTATGTTGTTCTTTACCGAAACTATCGCCATGCATCACCAAACAACCTCCACTTAATATCACGTTTATCACAGCGAACCGTGTCCAACAACGTTCCGCCCTCTCCCAACTCAGCGCTGCAGTTTTATCCCCGCGTCGCTGATTTACGAAAGATCCATGAATAAAAGCCAAGGGATATTACTGTGCGCGCGTGTGCAGCACGTATACGTGCGCGTGCAACCGTGCACTCGCGTTCACGCCCACGCGTGGCACCATCGGTCCGGATACCTCGAGCGGCGTTACCATTTCACGGAAAATGGAAACGGAAGTGTGTCACTGGGTCAATGGACCTCCTTCTCTTCCTCCTCTTCCGCCGTCTCTCTGTCTCTCTTTCTCTCCGTTACTCCCTCCCCTTATTCCACTCTCTTTCTTCGGCCGGTTCCATGGATGCATTAGTTCCAGACGCGACCGCCAACCTTTTTGTCTGGTCTCCCGTCCCTCGCCGCAGCCCGCCGTCGAAGTTCTCTTATTCACTTTCGTTTCCTTCCTCTCTCCACGATTTTACCACGCAGCCGAGAAACGACTCGGAGACGCTGCAAATTCTGGATAAGAAATAATGGATCGATGAGAGTCGACTGAAAAGCTCCTGTTTCCGATGAACCGCCGGTACCCGGTCGAGCTTCCATCTTCGAGCACGTGCTCCTGGTGAATTCGCTTTAAATTGTCTTTATGTTCCCGTTGAAATATTTAGGTTTCCCTCTTGGGAACGCTTCGTAAAACCGAACGGATGGCGGACGGTTTACTTTCGTGCTTTGATGTCGTCCGGAGACGAATCTTGGCTCGGTGCGTACTGGATGATGGACGTAAAAGTGGCACTCACGGGGACCATTTTGTGCTGCAGCTTTCTGGAGAGTAATGTATTGCCTCGAGTGTTCCTTTTCGGTTCTGTTGCATATTCTTGTGCGTCTGGTAAGTGGCGGGTTGATACGAGATTGTTCGTTTAGGCTTGAAAAATAGTTTTGCTCGGAACGAAGATTTCGGTGAGATTTTTGGGATGTGAGGATATTGAAAGTGCGAAGGATGTAATATTTTAATATAAATTCGACAATTCGAGTTCTTTAAGTAAGATATTTTAGTTCTGCGATATTTTTGTAACCGGCTCGATAGTGAACGCTCTAAATCAGCCGAGGAAATTTGAAACGGTGAAAGTTTCGGCGATGATTCAGCGTGCGGTAAGGTTGACTTCTGCGGTGTGCCACTTATTCCGTAAAAATTGAAACCCATGGCGTTACCGTTGAACGACTTCGTGGGATTAGAAAATAAATATTAACATAAGAGAACTTCACTCTCTCAATTACATGAAGAATTCGAAGTTTATATTGTATATACTATATCGAATACTATATTCCATTATAGTGTTACATTATATCCTACTTTTTTTCGTGATCACAAACTTTCATTTTTACCTGCGCGAACATCCGTCGATCCTAGTCATAGTATGTACAATAACGTCAATCTATAGGGGACCCAACGATTTTCCGATTAAGATCGAAAAATTGTTTCATAATTTGATTTAGGAGACAATTCCGAATGTTTTACACTCGGGGAGGGCAGTGACGTAAAATATATTGTAACGAATCCTCTTTTTATCGGAGAACGTATACTCGGAAGTAACGATACGGCGGCGTGGCAGTAAACCCATCGGGACCGTAAAGAGAGAGAGGCTTGGATCCGGCGATCAACAAAGACTATCTCAACACTTTAAGAACCAGCTGGTTTACATGTTACTTCGCGCAGCGCCCGATCCTTTTTGTAAATCAATTAAACGTCAGTGAATATTAACGACTGCCGCTTCCGCGATACTGATTATAATTCAATTGCGTAACGGTGCAGCTTTTCCTATAATTTTGTAATAAAGTCCGATGTTGATACCTTGCCCATTGAAAATAATATATCCTGTTTGTTGCCGCGCGGTAAATCCCCAGTAAACCAGTTTACCTCTGTTTTCGTTTCGTTTAACCACTTATTTAGTGGCCGTTCATTTTTGTCAAATCCTAATGAACAATAATGCGGCTTTCTGAAACCATTTATCTTTTACAAAAACAGTGGCATTTTCGAAATACTGTGTATAATAAGGAATGAAAGTTATTTTACTAAAATCAAATGACAAACAACAACATTTTTGTTACTTCGTACTATGAATTTATTCATTGACTATTAAATGGTTCCCTTAAGAACCATTTTAGGACTCGATAATAAATTCTCGAAATGCTTCTTGATCGATATTAATGGATATTTCATTAATATTTCGATACGAAACATAAAATCCCTTTTCCATCGTTTCGAGGCGATTATATGAAATTCAAGAAATAAACCATGTGAAACGGAAAACGATGCAGAATAAATGAAAAAAGGAATGATTGTATCTAGCGGGAAATATAAGGTTGCCGGGGCAACGTCGGAATCGTTGTTAACGTAAAAATGGAAGGGAGAAAGGGTTTTCGGGAATCAGGATGTGAATATTCGTGGGATACTCCGGCGCGTATTATGCGGCTTTCATGGAGTAGTCTGTCGAATGAAAACTCGTTGCATCGAACAAAAGCATCGACGGTTACGTATGTATATTCCGTGGGTATATTCCGCGCGAATCGACGCGGCTATAAATCTTTCTCTTTCCTTCGCGGTGAAAAATGTACGCGAAGGCGTCTCCGGTTCAGAGGACATCTTTGTCAGTCATCAATCACCGTGCCCTTACAATGAAATTTGCAAGTAAAACTTTGTCCCTCGGCGCATCTATATCGTGAGCACCGATATAGTTCCATTCATCTCCATGAACATTTATTGTTTCCTTTTTTCATTGTAGCCACGATACATTTGATCCGTGCAAATACACGTATTCGAAATCAAGCATTTTCCACTAGGAAAAGATCCGGAGAACTTCTATATAAATTTGTTCATAGAAATTCATTATTGTATATATCAATGAAGCATTTACTGCAAATTTCTTTGTGATAGTGGATGGTTACACCTCGAGATTGAACATTGAACAAATGGTAAACATTATCGTTCTATCGAAGAGTATTATCGATTAAAAAATAAATATATCTATTAAAGAAAGACAGTCTATTACTGAAATAAAATGAACACGCTCGACGAACAAAAAAATATCGATTAACATCGGGGAGTTTATTGGGATATTTATAATCTTCCTACACGTAACGAATAAAAATATCCTTTCTATAAAAAGTATTGAAATGAATAATCGCGGGACGAAATGAAGTTTCATTTCCCGACCGAATGAAAAAGAAATTGTTATCCCGTTGGAAAGTGTCTTTTATTGAAAAATATAATGCATCAGTGTATACACTTACACAGGCTCGCAATGATCGCGTTCCAAATAAGCGAGAATGCTTCTTTCTATTCGTCGTTTATGTGAACGAGTAATTCCGGCGCAAGATTAACGTTATCCTCGTTAAATAAAAAAAAGGGGTTGTCGCTCGATTAAAAAACACGCTCGTAATCCTCGTAGATCACTCCGCCAATTGGGAGCGCGAACGCGATGCTGCCATTCGAAACCAGCTTTCACTGATGGGCCACGGAGATCAGCCGTTAATCTTTTTACATTTCCTTCTTCCCTTCCTTCCTTCTTTCTTTCCTGCGAGCATTTCCCTCGTTTCTCTTTTTCCCCTGTGTCCATTAACCTCATTAACTACATTTCGCTTAATTACCCGCGGGAGTAACTCTTCTGTCGAGCGGACTGTTTCCAGGTAGCTACGCGCCGAAACTCCATTCACGTTTCTGGTTGCGCGAGCCGGGTAATGAACGCGATCTTAATGAACCGGAAAGCGCATCAATGATTCTCGACCATACGCCGACACGTGTAATTACTCGATCGACATAAGTCCCGAAATGATTAAGCGGATAATTAAAGAATGAACGCCGCGTTTCGGATTCCAATAAAGGGCACCGGTTCGGCGCCGATACTAAATTTTTATGACGTGGTACTTTAAATAACTTAACGGGAGATAATTTGATATTACTGTAACGGACTCCGGCGCGATGCGATGTTACAGACATCGCTCCCCGCGAGTACGTGAGCTACGCGAATTGTTAACCCTTTGCGAGAGTTTCTATTGGTTACATGTATTTATTAGTTTCTAGTGGAACATTAATTGAATTATTGATTCCATTAAGTTGATTAATACATGGATCAATGGATAAAATTATTTTACTTTAATATTTTCTGTTTAGTTGTATTATATCATGTATGATACTGAATGTCAACTGTGAGTCGCCTCTCGAGTGCAAACGGTTGATTCTAGATGCTAACCAGATCCACGGAACCCATTACTTCGACGAATGTCGAATCTCATAATTTTCCGAACGTAAACCCACTGCGAAAAACAACAAGAGAACTTTTAAACCTAATATCCCCATTAAAATCAATGCACCGATAAAATGCAACAAACAGTAACACGTATTACAGCGACTAGACAACGATCGCCACGAACACCGATCCGCGATCGTCACGCGAGAGCTAGAAAACGACAAGCTAAACCACTCTATATATTGAATACGCGATGACAGAAACATTCTGCCAGCAATAGCTACCATGTACCGATCGCTGAAGCAGTGAAGACCTCTAAGGTCACCGAACCCGCTGAAAACTCAACGGTTACCCGCAGCAAACCCTCCCCGATCAAAAATGGTAAAAAGCTGACGGTTCAGGCGATCCACTCCCGAGTGGACAAGATGATCTCCGTCATTACGCGTTCCCGTTACCTGGGTGAGGGTGGATG